AAAATAAATAAACGTTGGAAAAAAAAAATAATAAAAAAAATAAATAAATAAAGATGACTTCAAAGCTTCTAGGATGTTGCCCCTGAATGAAATGAATGGTCTATGCTGCAAGACATGTTGTTTAGTGGATTTACAGGCTTCCTGGCAGTAGTCAGAAGGGAAGCTTTTCTTGATGACCTACTCAATCTTTGGCCTTTAGAATCCAATCCAGGCAGTAACCATCATGCCAAGTTTGATTTAAAATACTGGCTCACTTGTAAGCCATGGGTTGTACATCTCGTTCTAACCCCCTTAAAACATTAAATGATCCAGTAAGCCATTTCTTAAGTGTGAAAGTTTAACAGATTGGGGTTGATTTAAGATGTAAAGGCATCCTGAGAAGCTTTACACATCCTGAATAGAAATGTAGCCTTACTGAAACCTGACTTCAATTTTATTATAGCTTGCATTTAATAAATTAGAAGGTATATTGGAAGGATGCTTATCACCTTGAATTTTACTGGCAGATTCAAAGAGCTAGCTTTCTGCAGTAAGATAGACAGAAGTCACGCTGTTATACTGCAAACCACTGACAATAACTCATACTGTGGTTTGCTGTCAAGAAACCCAAACAAAACCCAAAGAGATCCCTCCTCACCAGAACTTATTGCCTTCCTTTCAACATGAAATTATTTTTTGCAGTCTGATGTAATGGTACTTTGCTTCCTAACCTAATTGTGTCAGGATGGAATATTTGGTCACAAATCAGCTTCCCAGAGAAGATCGGTTTATAATGAACTGTCATGACTTTCTCTGAAAGCAGCTTTGTTTACTGTAACAGGAAAAAAAAAACCATTCTGAGTCACATTTTCCTGATTATCAGTTGGATCTCTTTTCTTCTCCTTTTTAGCTGCCACGTTGTGGTATATTCAAGTTCAGAATGGAAAACAGACTTAGGCACAATATGTTAAGTTTCTTCTATGTCATTTGATCTCTTGCTTCTTTAAATGAAATACTTTACAAAGCAGAAAGTGGCTTACACTAAAGCGCTAAAGATGACCTTACACTAGAAATGCCCTTAATATGTCGTGTCAATCCTAAAGAATGATTCTAAGCATGACATCATTGGCATAGCCTCATGCCTATCTATAGTCTTCTGGTTACACACTCCATTTTATGCAAGAAGCAAAACAGCTATGTAGCAGCTCCAAAACACTTTAGCAGCTCGAAAAGGATGAGGAAATTCCTGCTACACAGAGAAGTGTTGGCACTTTTCAATTAAATGCTTGATAAATGAATTTCTCTGGGATTGTGCTCATTTCTTTAATAGCACCCACAAAACTGGAAAGTGAGCTGGTTTTATGAAGTGGAAGAATTAAAAGCATATTGCAAATGGCCTCCAGAAGAAAACACTTTCAATCATTTGTTTCAACTACACCAAGGCTGCCAGTTCTTAATGGCACTCTGGGGGAAGTCACTATGCTGGGCAAACACACCCAGGGCCTGCACACACTGCATCTTCCTGAGCTGAGCACAGGAGATAAAAAGTATGAGCTCTTATGGAACAGTAGCATTGTTGATTTCTGGTTCTTGGTCTAAGCTCCTAATCTCTTCCTTCTGAGACGTTAAAATCAGGTAGTTATGGTCAATGGGCCTTCCTTTTCAGAGGTTAGCTTTGGTTGGATGTTCAGGCATACAGACAGTTAGAGAGAGGTATGGTTGGGAGATACCATCCGTAGACATTAACACCTTAAATAGACTGGGCACCAGATTCATGCTTGTGACACATTAACTCATCCAGATGTTAGTAGACTCCCTAAGAGGCCCTCATCGGCAGTTCTTATTGCTGCAAAGTCCCATTTTACCCTTCCATGTTGCTATTATCTAGCTTTAGAATATTCTTTGTGTTTACTTTCCACACATTTTCTCCCCTTTTGGTTTTGGTTATTTCATCTGCAGCTCCTCATTATTACACTAGATGGAGTGTCTGCAAAGAAATGCCAATGTTCTAGTTGTACTTGTGTTTCTTCCTTTAATGAAATGCTTCATTAAAGGTATTCTGTGTCACGTGGGTTTTCTATGTTGTTATTTGCATGGTAAGATGAAGCCAGAATGAGGTGTACGCTCTGGTCTTTTCCAAGATGGAAAGACTGAAGAACTGTAGGCATGGACTAATCTTTTTATTAATTGAAGAGTATATTCTCCAGAATCCTTAGATATGCCAAGGACTCACATCTAAAGGCAGAGCCCTTCATTCAAGAATTACCCCCAGAGAGGGGGCTTTTAATTCCCATTCAGCCAAGCATTCCACATTGATTCCTACTGCAGTAACTTCCAGGGCATTTTCACTGTCACTGAAAAGGGGGGGAAAGGGTAAGGGAACAGGTTCACATAGAACTGATATACCTTTTCTTTAAGGTTTTCCAACATTTTTTCCACCTGTAGCTTGTCATCTTTGACTTTTTCAAGTTCAGCTTCTTTTCTTTTGTATTCCTCTTGGACTTTGAGTAGATGCTACAAGAAAAGCCAAAAACAATCAAGTCTTCAGGAGCCACACTTCATTTAAAAATCCTGGGTGAAGTTAGATAGTAGGATGGCCTGCCTCACTTCCTCCCAACTCACACAATCATTTCTCCATGCAGAGATACCAAAGGGAAAATCAAGGTACTTTTTACTTAAAGTTATTTTATCTAGCTCTTCGGACCTTCCTTTGGATTTGTTCATATTTTAGAAAATGCCTGAGAAACTAATTGATCTAATCACTTAACTTTCCTATTCCAGCCAGGGATAAGGATACAATGTAGTTAATCCCATGTGGACAGTTTCTTGATTGCTGCATAGAACTTAATGTTGGAAAGCATCCTTTCAAATAGCCATTTTCCAAGCTTAGTTCAATTTCTGTGAGGAAAGTAGCAAAGAACCCACATTTCACAAATGTTTGTTTCCATATCAGTAGGCAAGGAACTGGATTCATCATTGCTAATGATGACAAAAATACTATTTATTTAGCATCTAAAATACGTCACATTGTGGAAAGGGTTTCATATGTGACTTCATATGAACCTCAAATAACCCTATGATATAATCCTGAGATTTACAGAAGTTCAGTGCTTTGCCTAAGGCCATTCAGATAGTAAGTGACAGAGTCAAGATTTAAACCCAGGCTGGGACCACCTCACAGTCCATGATCTTAACCACTATGTTAGACTGTACTTCTTTTGGGGATAAGATGAGAGAACTTTGATCTTGTTTACAAGGCTGTTTTCCAATAAAAAGTAATAAAAATGAGTGAAATTAATTTGTCAGGATGTAGAGACCTAATTTTCTCTGAGGCCTCTGAAGTGATGAAATGAAAAAAAAAAAAAAGAGTTCACCATCTTTAAATTGTATTTAAGTAGCAGAACTGTCCTTATGTGGAATGGTTTCAAAATCAAGGTAAGAGGGAAAAACAACAACAAAAATGTTTCCAAAGTTTTACTTTTCAGAGGCTTGCAAAAGACTGCTGGAAGAACTAAAAGACACAGTACAGTACAATGTACATTGTCAAAATTCTTTGAAGTTTAGCCGAGGAGATTCATTTTTTTGTGGAAAGATCTCTGATATATTTTACATGTCCTAATTAAATTCCATAGTGACAATAAAAGGAAGGTAAGCATTACTTCACACATTTTGCTAATAGAAAAGGTGAAATATTAATGTGATATTGCTTGTCACTCAGGAAGACAGTTGTAGCAGAAGTAATAGGAACATGGGACTCTTAGTGCCAGAAGAGACTCCTTGTTCACAATTTGTGATTTCCAACCAGCAATAAGCTTTGCCCTAGATAATTCCAAGGCATACAATTAAAAAAATTATTGCTACATTTAAATTGTAAGGAAAATGGTCGGTAGTCTGGCAAGATGGAAGAGGATAGTACCTTTACTCAGAAATACTACTCCTTTATTATGATGAGAACAGATGTTGATATCTTTTTAATTGTAGGCTCACTGTAGTGATGGCTACATAAAACATCTAGATGTTGAGCATCTATTACACAATGTTGTATATGAATGCAATTACAGTTGGATGCACCTATTTACTTTACTTTTTATACTTGTAATAATGTGCAGGTAAACTCATTCACATAAATGACTGAAAACAAACCAAAGCAAAATAAAAGCAAATTGGTGTTATGTGCCCAAAGCATTGATACTGACAAAACAAGGGTAGGATTCCTGCCATTTCTCCTAAAAGGCTGTATTGTCCAGCACTGGATCAAGTAAATACTTATTCACCAGCACTTTTTCATATGTAAGTAAGTGAGGTTCTTCATAAAGACCCTGAGGCCCTTTCCAGATCCCCAAGTACCTTCTGAAGCTTAAAGATTAGATTATGTTCAGTGTAGTTTTATTGTTAAGTGTTTTCACTGAATCTTTATTCTTTGAAAAGTGGTGACCCACGGCTACATCTGTATTGGCCAGAATATTTCATTAACCACCACCCATGATCCCTTCCTCAGCTATGACAGAGAACAGGCTGTCAAGAAGAAGAGACTTGCTATCCTATTTGCTTGTGAGGGATCCTCATTCAGGTGAGGAGCTGGCGCCAGCTTTCCGAAAAGCTCAGAAAACCAAGGGCCTTTACCTGTTGCATTCCTTGCAGGGCTTGCTGCAGGAGTTTCAGCTGCTGCTCCTTGTTTGGGTCGTCTTCTCTGTGGGCTTTGCCCTGCTCTTGCTTCAGCAGTTCTACCTCATTCCGATAGGCATCGAGCTGCCAACGGAGGCTGTCATTTTCTTCCTTCAAAGCTTCTGCCTGTGACACTAAGGCTGAACAATCAATATAAAGTCGAACATCCGTATATCCACATTCCTTTGGGGTTCATCTCGGTACCATAAAAACTTAGTATTTTTCAGTTGACGTGTATAAAAAGACTCTTGAGCAACTTAGGTTTGAGTTGCCCATGGCAGCAAGAGATGGAAACAAAAGCCCACAGCACCATTTTTGTAAATGAACACAGCAGTCCAACATACTGAAGTCATTGTCATGTTTCCTACTCGTCACCCCAAATACAATCATGATGTTTCCAGCTACCATTGGTTACTTTTATTTGGGAGGCAGCAAATGATAAGAGCTCTGTCATAACAGAGTATAGGACTAATTGTCTTGAACTGACGTCTGTCCACACAGTAACTTTTGTGGCAGTTGTTTTTAAAAATGTAGCCTTCCTTGCCTGTTCTCCCGAGGAAAGGTAGATATACAAATTAAGACACAAGACTTCTGGTCTCTGGTCTGGTGTGTAAGGAGTTTACAAGTCACCATTCCATCCTGATGACAAGTAAAAGCTGAATAAACTGAAAGATCAACAACTCTCCTTAGATCCATCAGAGAAGTGAAGTCACAGGGCTGCAACTGGACAGACAGGTGAATACAAAGAATCACAACTTACCAAGCTGAAAACCTATGAGCAGAAAGTCCCACAGGAACCAGGGGCAAGCAAGAAAACATAAACTGTAATTGGCTAATTGCTGGAGGCTCAGTGTGGACAAGTCTGTGGTTTGAAAAGTCCAGAGGCACCTAGTCATAGTGAGGTCTATATACTTTAGTGAGTTTTACCTCTAGGAGCACAACCAAGTTCTTGCAATGACTATTGGAGAAAAATCCCCTTGTGCTTCCATTGGGGGTGGGGAAGGAGAAACCATTTTGAAATATACCAGAGCATTCTGTTCTTCTTAACAAGGCCTGCCTTCAGAAGAAACTGTTTTACCATAGCCTAACCTGCTAGCCTAACGTGCTATTACCAGAGCCTAACTGACCTGGAGAAGGGAAATACCCAAATATACACCTTTTCAGCCATCCTGCCACAACTAAGGTTGGTGAGGGGGGAACTGATAAACACTTGTGAAGCTCACAGTCCAGAGGCATATGATCACTAAAAGACTGAGATCCAATCACAGGACTATAGAATGCTTCCCATACCTTACTGCCACGCTGCTAAAGTCCTATTTGCTAGAGTTTTTTTTTCACCCAGTACATCCTGTCAGATTTCAACAAAAAATTACAAGGCATACTAAAAGGTACAAAAACACACTTTGAAGAGACTGAACATGGATCAGAACAAGAGTCAGATATAGCATGCATGTTGGAATTATCAGATCAGGAATATAAAACAACTATGATTAGTATGCTAAGGGCTTTAATGGGAAAAGTAGATAACATGCAAGGACAGATGGATAATGTCAATGGAGAGATGGAAATTCTAAGAAAGAATCAAATAGAAATGCTAGAGATAAAAAAAAAATACTGTAACGGAAATGAAAAAAAGTAATATTAATTATTAAAAGACGGGACATGCCTGGCCAAAGAATCTCTGAACTTGAGGATATGACAATAGAAACTGCCCAAACTTAGAAGCAAAGAGAAAAAATCCTGGAAAAAAACCCCATGAACTATGGGACAATCACAAAAGATACACATAATGAGAATATTAGAAATGAAGGAAAGAAAGGAATAGAAGCAATATGTGAAGCATTAATGGCTGAAAAATTCCTCAAATTATTACCAGGAAGTTCAGAGAACATCATACAGGGTAAATGCCAAGAAATTAGACCTGAAAAGACACCTCACCAAAGACATATTAGTGGCAAGTAAGCATCATCATATGTCATATGTCATACATCATTAGGGAATTACAAATTAAAATAACAGTGAGATACCACTACACACCTATTAGAATTGTGAAAACCCAAAACAATGACAACACCAAGTGCTGGCCAGGATGTGGAGCAAACAAAAACTCTCTTTCAAGGAGGTCACTTGTTGGGATGAGTACTGGGTGCTGTATATAAGTGATGAATATCGGGTTCTACTCCTGAAACCAATACTACACTGTATGTTAACTAATTTGAATTTAAGTAAATAATGTATTCTAAAAAAAGAAATAAAACAAACAAAAAAAAAACCCTTCTCTTTCACTGCTGGTTGCTTTCATTGCTGGTGCTTCATTCAGGCACATTGGAAGATACTTTGGCAATTTCTTATAAAACTAAACATATTCTTAGCATACAATCTAGCAACTGTGGTCCTTTGTATTTACTCAAGTGAACTAAAAACCTATGTCCTCCCAAAAATATGCACAAGGATTTTATAGCAGATTTATTCTGGCAGTTTTCTAATTGCCCAGACTTGGAAACAACTGCAATGTTCTTCAGTAGATTAATGCATAAACAAACTGTGGTACATCCAGAAATGGAATATTAGTGCTAAAAAGAAATGAGTGATCAAGCGATGAAAAGACCTGGAGGAAATGTAAATGCTTATTACTAAGTGAAAGAAGCTTATTTAAAAGGCTATATAACTTATGACATTCTGGCAAAGGCAAAATGATGGAATCAGTAAAAATATTAAAAAAAAACCCAACCCTAACCTGGTTGCCAGGGGTTGAGGGGGTAGGAAAAGATGAATAGGCTGAAAATAGAGGATTTTTAGAGCAGTGAAACTATTTTTTATGATACTATAATTGTGGATACATACATTTTAAACATTTTCCAAACCATAGAATGTATAACACCAAGAGTGAACCCTAATGCCAACTAGAAACTTTGGATGATAACCATGTATTCAGTGATTGTAACCAATGTACTCCTGTGGTGCGGGATGTCAATAGTGGGAGCAGCTGTATGTGTGTGGAGGTGGAGACAGGGTGTTTGGAAACTCTTTACTTCTTGTTCAATATTGTTGTAAATCTAAGACTGCTCTAAATATTAAAAATTAATGTATTAATTAAAAAAAACCTAAAACACATGAGAAAACCTTGGTTAGCTTTATTTATGAGTATGGCACATTTTTCAAGGTCAAAAATCACAAAAGCTATTTCAAAATATTTAATCAAAGGATTTTCATTCATTCGCCAACACTGAGTACCTTCTCTGTATCAGGTTATGATAATGGTAAAATATGAGATTCCACTAATCTCTATGGTTTACAGTCCAAATTAATAGAAACATTTGTAGTTTATTCCAGTTTTGATTCCTAACACAGGATAAACCGTAGAAAAGAGACATCAAAATGGGTCAAATTAGAAACCTGTACATTAAATAGATAAGAATGTTAAAAGGAAACTTGTCAAAGGTGTGATTTTTTTTCAGCTACTTATGGGGAGGGATTTTGGGTCGAAGAAAGTAAAAGAAAGTCATAGATATCAAATCTTCAAGATTAGCTATAAGTGGTGGAAGAAGAGTTTTCTAAAGGGATTTCAAAGACCAGATTCATGCTGTACATTATAAATGGAAACAAGCTGTGCTTTACAAAGATGAAATATAGAGAAGAAACCCACATTCTGAGTGTGAAAACACCCCCTATTCCTAAAAGGAGGCTGCTTTTGGTTGGGGGGGGGCGCTTTGCAGGGTTTAATTCCATGCTTTCAACCTTAGGGTTTTCCTAAAACAATCAGGTTCCAATGTAGGCTGATGTGATCAGATTGTCTGCCCAAATTAGAGTGGCAACACTTCCTATTATATGTCAGTGCACACATTTGTTTTTTGTGGATGGCCATGTAATTATCCTGATATGGCAGTTTTAAACCTTGCATTTTAGTTCTAAAAAGAAATTACAAAAATTTGTGGCATGAAACCTTCGTTGTATATTTGGTTTTATTACTGATTTTAATTTTTACCATAATCATACAGCTTTTGTGTCTTTGAAGAGAAAGCCGTTACACAGAGGGTTGGAGTCCCAGCACTCTAAATACTATCTATCCTTGTCATCTCTTCCAGCAGCTGGGATACTTGTCATTGGGCAGGAAGCACCCCTCACAATCACAACACCAAAAGAAGATGCTAAAAGTGAAGATGACTGTATATAGGAAACTCTATGGCAAAAGGGCCATTAGCTATGTGCCAAACGGCAAGAAATATTTGATTTGCTTGCTGGGTCAGTACCAAGGATAGCATCTCGAGCTGGAGTTCTGAAAAACACAGAGGTTACTCTGTAAATCAAGTGACTGCTACAGATAGACATTTATTTCTGCTTTGGTTTGCATGTTTGTCCTCTGGCAAGCCATGCGGCTCAATACTAGTGTTTTTCATCTTCCCCCTTTCGTTTCTTCTTGTACTGCAGGCCAGTGATTATGCTATGTCTTACAAGTCATGTGGAGAAACATGGAACAGAAAAGGGCAGCGATCCAGGAGCATGGTTAGAGGCATAGTCTCCAGTTTAAAAGTGAAACTTTTCCCTCTGAGCAAATGAGGAGGAAAGACTGCTTCTCTCCCTGGGGAAAGGGCATGCTGATAAGCAGAGATAGATACCTGCAGCCAAGTGGGAACAGATAATCATCTCCTCAGATTGGACGTGTCACTAAGCAAAAGAGAATGTGATCTTCTTTAATGCCACCAGGGCACCTTACTTAAGAAATGTATTTCCCACTCTCTGAAATGAGGGTTTTTGTCATTTTAATGAGGACACCAAGTCTTTACTTTCACAGACCTAATATTAATTGGGCACATTTCTGAAGTTGGAGTTCTTTGTACATTGCCAGAGCATTGAAAAGTTCAGTATTACCTTTTAATAATATGTTTGAGTAGGTGAATCCATCAGTCTTGATACTAAAGAGCATAGTACAGTGAATTTATTCATATCTTGCCATCATTAGTTCTCAGCTGTTCCTTTTTGACTATTTCCTATATGGGAAAACCATTTCTCTTTATGGGGATTGCTCCTCAGACCTGAAGGCTGCGAGTTCATTATGGCAATATGAAAGTACGAAGGCAGCTGTGAACTCTTTTTAGAGGAACCACTGAGAGCAAAATCCCAGATATGTTTTTCTATAACA